CATTTTAAACTAGAGATCTTTGAGTAAACGTTAACAAAGATTAGATTCGTGATAAGACGAAGATATATAAGCATACAGTTCATACCACAATGAGCAATTTTCTTTTTGTAAATATTAATAATGTCTATAAGAAAAGAATTTGATCTATAATTATTAGAGGGGAACGTAACGGTAATGTTGTAATAGCAGATAGTGAGGATCGAAGATCAATGGATCGTATGATTCGATGTCGGCCAATCACAACCTAACACGTGATCATGCCGGGCTGCGGTGGCTGTGGCGCGGATCATCTGACCCGGACTTTTGGGGGTCGCCCTGGCTAATTCCAAACTTTTAGCCAGAGTTACCTACAACAACTCATCAAAAAAACTTAATTTACATACTAACCCACTAGATTTGATATACTCAATTGTACTCTATTACTCTATACAACTACTACTCTTACCTATAGTTATAATTCATAACAATACAATATTTGATATTTTCAAAAACAACCAAGTATCACAAATTTTATAACAAATCACAGCTAATAATACTACCCAAACATATTGCATATTCTATATAAATAGATCAGTCAATGATATTACTACTAAATGATACACAATAGGCATTGGATGAGTATAAACTCTAGATAACACTATTCAACAAATATTTTTTGCAAAAATTAAATTCTGGCCCTCCTCATATAAAGCTGAATTAATTGAAATTCTTTCTGCAATTAGTACATACTCTAGACAATATAATATAACTATTTACACAGATTCACAATCTATCATATCAAAATATCACAAGCTTAAAAACTCACTATCTACATCTAACAAATGATACTTTTACAACTACTGGCCTATTTGGCACATACTACTTAACTTCATTACAATATACAAACTTACTATTAACTTTCTAAAAGTTGTAGCACACAGTATTAATATATTTAACAATACTGCAAACAAGCTGGCTAAAAGCTCTAATTAACTAATTATATTTGAATTTATACACAACAACATTTATAATACATTATATCACCTTCAATATAAAGAATTTGTATTTGAGCAACAAACACGTAGATCTATCAAAAACATATATAATGCTTATATTATTGCCATGTAGTCCTCACAACACTATATAGAATATATCATACTATTATTTTCACAAATTAGCTAGAATACAATATAGCTTTACTTAAACAACAATCATAAGAAATCTTCACTATATACTAGTTTTCAACTATGTTAAAAAAAACTTTTAAAATCAAATTGCTACTCGGTATACTCCCAACTTTATCATATTTACATTCATTATATCCCAAAACATTTCTACTGTTAAATTGCATAACATGCAACATACAAGAAAACTACTTTCACTAGTATACATGTTTAATGTATCTACTTTAAGCTCTACTATGACCAATACAATACAACAATTCTTTCACTCTAACAGACTTGATATAACAAGCACATAGCTTCAAGACCTTTACAACAAACTTATTAATCACTAGTGCTATAATCCCAACTATAGTACATGCTCTAATACAAATATATATATTACAATTTAGAGTTATATCCCTATTGCACTTATAGAAACTATATGTATATTTACTAACTCTAATAAAATGGCTAATGTAATTACTGCCAAATTTCTCTTACAACTATCACAAAATATATACAACCAAATCTGGAAACCATACTGTGCAAAATTTGCAGAATATATTACCAAGATTTACCAATACTTCACAAGACAGTCATACTCCACCACAAGCAGCTTTACACTACCCTAGATCTTTATACACTTATAGCTGTGCTGTGGTCTTTCTGATCACTAACATGAAAACAATACCTGCTCACCTCTTGGTAAAGCTATAAAAAAATATCTTTATGAATATTTTTATGGATTAACTACAGTACCCAACCAATAATATTTTAAATTACCAAATTTAGATGAGTTTTAACCACTCTAGTAGGTTTAGGTTGCAGATAAATTAGATAGAATTAGATAGTTTACTATTTATAGTATATCTATAGTCTGAGTTTCATTCTTGTAAAAAATTTGTAAACAATTGGCTACGGCCAGAGAGTCTCTCTGCAGATTCTCAATACAAATTATTAAATAAAGATAAAGACAAAACCTCACCTTAAAAAAAAAAAAAAAAAAAAAAATTTAATTTTCCAGGCAAATTTGCCTGGAATACAGTTTAAGGGATAATATTTTAAAAAATTAAAAAATATAATTTAAATCAATGTTATTATAAAAAAATTAAAAAATATAATTTAAATCAATGTTATTATAAAAAAATTAAAAAATATAATTTAAATCAATGTTATTATATTTATTATATTTAAGATTTTTTTAACATATTTAATATTCAAATATCCGAAATATATTTGAAGTTCTAATGATTATTAAATTTATTAAAAAAAAAATTTATTAGTTTACATGTAGTGTTTATACAAGATTTGATATAGTGAAGAATTTTGAATTCTGGAATATTAAACTTCAACTCGATATAGTGAAGTACTGTACATATAGTATTCCCTCGATATAAGCTATAGTGAAGATTTTTTTTTAGCCCGAAGACTTCACTATAACGAGAGAGTGTTGTATTCTGTTGTTCCGCACAATGGTACATATACGTATTACCGGCAACAAAGATCCGAATTTAGGTATTGATTTGAAAATTATCTCGACTACCATTTTTGTTAGGCGACGCTATGTAAACTTTACGTTAGCTACGTTTTTTTATGACAACACTAAAATGGCGCTTTATCGTTTCGTTATTAATTTTGAACCTTAATTATAACATAAGCATGACTTGCTAAATTCTTCGTGATCGTGATTTAGTATATTTTGCTAAAAGTTTAAATCGTTGTCAGCAAATAATCAAAATACAATTATGAAATAATTTTCTGATCATTATTTTTTGAAAAGTCAAAATAATCTCGTTGTTTATTACAAGTAAATTGTCGTTAATTAAAACCTACTATAGTGTAATTGAAAATAAACTATGGATATTAAAAAATGTGATCTATTCTTTTAATTTTTTTAAAACGATATTCAGTACATTATTTCATTAATAGTTAAGGTTCTTTGTTAAATGCTCAGCTCGCATATATAATAACTTTCAAATGAAATCTTTAAAAAACTTGAATATGTTTTCGGTTTCTCATATAAGTTTAAACTTCCTTGGCGCTTTCAAATTATAATTTATAGGGATAAATATCGTAGAACGTTTAAAATAAAGACCTTTGGACTTTAGGGTCTCGAATATTATTCTGATGATTATTGATTCTTGATGTAATGTGATTTTTCTGTAACATTTTAAATGATAAGATCTCGAACCAATAACATTAAAATTAAAAATCAGAGTTAAATAGCATTGCTCTTCACACTGTGCATATCTGCATTGAAAGTCTTTTTGTTTACATTTGGTCAAACGTTTTGATAGTAAATGATCATAGTATTTTGATTTTTTGTGTAATAAATTTTTTTTAAAAAAAGATGGTTTTTTCTTTTTTTACGTATGCCCGTCCGTATAAACATTAAAAATTTGATTTAGCGTTAAGGGTAAAAAGGAAACTCAATATAAAAAAAATTATGATTAATATAGAAATTGGGCGCCGGGATTTTTTATCATACTTATTCCCTTTTGTATTAATGATTTAAATGAAATTGAACCCTTAAAACGGTTATTTGGGTAAAACATTAAAAAAAAAAAAAAAAATTATCAATGACAAGACGATCCCAGGGCTTTGCAAATTAGAATTTCAAGCCAGTTTCATTACAGGTTAGCGTTAACACGTATTGGTATTGGTACGTATTGATATTGATATTTGCATGTGGAGTACATATGTGCGTACATACGCGCGTAGGTACGTACGTGTGTGTGCACAAAAAGATAATCATAAATAAATAACGATAACGGTGGTAAAATCAAAATTAGAAATTTCTTGAGAAAAATCAAGACCATACATATGACATTATACCTATTAAGTATTTGTAACAGGTAATACGTACTATATACAAAAAAACTACGTAGTTAAAAATAATAAAATATTATAAATTTATACATGACAGCTGACAATTGTTGAATTGTCGATCTGTACACTCAGAGTTTTTTTTTTTAACCTCAAGATCTAATTATACATAGCACAAGAACTATTTAAAGTTGAGACGATAAAAAAACATTTTGTTTAACGTTACATTATCGGGACATTAATGTTACTGTGTTGTTACTTTGTTATTAGTTTGTTGTTACTCTGTTGTGTTGTTACTTTGTTATTAGTTTGTTGTTACTCTGTTATTATTTTGTTGTTACTTTTTGATTTAGTTGTTACCTTGTTATTTGTTGTTACCGGCACTTTGTTGCTACTTTGTTATCTTGGGAATATCTGTGTTCAGAACATAATGAAAATATCTGTTCAGAACATAATGAAAAAAGGTAATGTTAATAATGATATCATATAATGATAAGCCACGTGTTATTCAATGAATTGTGGAGGGATATGCATGAAGAATCCAAAACATGTTTGTATCACGGTGGGAAATACTAAGAGTCCTGAGGGCACCACCATAACTTTGTATTATAACTCTGTGTATTTCTGGGTATTATAACTCTGTATTATAACTGATTATAACTCTGTATTATAATTGATTATAACTCTGTATGATAACTGATTATAACTCTGTATGATAACTGATTATAACTGATTATAACTTTGTATTATAACTCTGTATTATAACTCTGTATTATAGCCCTGTATTACAACCCTTTATTACTGTATTACCTGTATTATATAGTCCTGCATTATAACTCTGCGCACACCTTTACAAAACACATAACAAAATATTATGTTATATGTATAAGTGCAATCATTAATATTCTAAGAAAAACAAAAAGAAATTTTTGTATATGTATCGTAATTAAATTTATTTTTTTTTTGAAGAAATAAATAATGTTCTGAACCGACAACACGTATACGTATAACATACGTAATCTGTTGGCTGTTGGTATATATATATATATACGTATATATAAAAAATTTTTTTTGTTCAAATAAAAAAGACAAACAAGAAACTCTATTTACAGGAAAACAGGAAAAAATGTTTATCAAAAATATATAGATACTTTTTTTTTCTTTGAAATATGAAAAAGAAAAACAAATTCATTTCATACTCAAAAAAAAAGAGTTTTTTTTTTTTTTTTTGTTAAGTAAAAATTTAGAAAGAAAAAAAAAAAAATAAAGATGCCTTCTTTTTTCTTTCACATTATAAACTCATCACCAAAATTTATTCAATAAGTTTTAATAATGATGTTAATAATGACATCTTTAATGATCCAAATGATAATGATCCATCCAATGCTAAACAAGAAAAAAAACCAAATACACGGACCCAAGTTAAGAAAATCCTCTAGATTAAGGATTAATTGATATGATATATATCTATAAATATATATATATGTATATACTTTTTTTTTTTTTTTTTAGTTTTTATATGGCCAAAGTCATCGGAGATAAAAGATTTTCATCAACCGAAGGAACCCCAATAATATTTGTAATATTTGTAATTTTAGGAAAAGCACAACCTCTACCCGAATATTTAAATTGTTCTTTAAGAACAAATAAAGGTACGTTATCTTCATCTTCTTCAGAATCATCAGAATCATCACTATTATAATTCGTTAATTGATTATCCAAATCTTTAATCGAATTTGTCGTTATAGATGTTGATTGTTGTTGTTGTATCTGTTGTATCTGTTGTTGTGGTAATTGTTTAATTGTTTTACTGGTTAGCTCTACAGAATCCGTTAGAGTAGATATTGATGATAATGAAGATGTTGATGATGATAATGATGTTCTTACAAGTGTATTAGTACTACTAATATTACTTGAAATACTAGTTTTACTTAATCGTTTTCTTCTTCGTGCAAGTGGTAAATCTTTGGTGACCAATTTATTTAATGTTTCATCAAAAATCGTCAAAACTTTTGTTGATGCATATGAAGGTCGATAATTCATTACAATCGGTGAATATGATGGTTTATATTCCGTTAAAAATGTTATTCGTTTATTAGACGTAGAAAGTTGACATGGTGACTTGGAAGTGGATGAACGCCCTGAAATCACTGATGAGGATGAAATCACAGATGAGGATGAAATCACTGATGGGGATGAAATTTCTGATGAGGATGAAATTCCTGATAAGGATGAAGTCCTCGGTGAGGTAGAAATTTTTGATGACGATGAAATCCCCGATGAGGATGAAATCTCTGATGAAATTTCTGATGATGGTGAAATCCCTGATGATACTGATGAAATTTCTGATGATGGTGAAATCCCTGATGATACTGATGAAATCCCTGATGATACTGATGATACTGATGATGACGACATTGGTAATTCAGTAACACACAAGGATATTGTTGAATTTGAATTTTTATAAGGTGAATTATAATTGTCAACTTGTGAATCAACGAAACGTTTTTTATTATTTAATGAATAAATCATTGTCTTGTATCTAAGTAATTCTTCACGTTGTGAATCCGAAAATTCTGGTGTATTTGAAAGTTTTGTTATGGTATTTTTTAACATAAAAGCTTGATAAAAAGGTCTTGGTCGATTTCGAGCTGCACTTATTTTGCGTAAAGTTCTTACATAAGCAAAATGTTCAATAGATCCACGAACGATAAAAGTATTTTCCAAACAATCTTCTTTTGAAGGTCCTGATACAAAATCTTTTTGTGTTAATTCATAAATATTCGGCTCTGAAAATATGGTCTTCGGTATGAGATCGGCACTTTCAAGAATTTCTTCATTAACCCAATAATTTGGTTCGGCACAAATACTATTTGGACGTTTCTTTTTCATCGTTTGATTCCCCCTTTTATTCGTGGCCGAGTTATGTGTGGTGGTAGAGGTGACATTATTATTATTTGCTGATGATGTTAAAGACCTTGAACGTTTCAAACTTTTCTCAACAACTTTACGAGAAAATTTTGATGAAAGTTTTGAAGGACCAGGAAAGGTAGCAAAAACTCTTGTGGTATTTTTTAAAGGTGTAAAGGGTTTTGTAGATTTTTCTTTAGATGATTTATCACTACGTGATAATTGACTTTTTATCCATTTTGCGAAACTTGAAACTCCAGAGGTAGAAAATCCAGATGTTGAAAAGGTAGAAGAATCTGAATTATCATTTTGTGATGACATTCTTTTTACGATTTTTTTACGATTGTTATTTTTAAATATTATTCCTAATAAATGTTATCCTAGTAATATTATTCTAGTTATTCCAAATCCAAAACGAACGGGGAAAGAAATAGGGGAATTAACGAATATTAACGAATAAAAATGAATGAAAAAGGTAATTATACGGATGATAATTTTCAACGTTCGTATTTGACTGGAAAAACTAGCCTAAAAAACGGTTTTATTAAATTAAAAAATGATCAAGAATAGTGTTTTATTTCAAAAAAAAATAAATAAACAAATAAATAAAATAAATAGTTTGATATATACACCAAACGAATGATGATGAGGATGATGATACAAAGAAAGTCAAAATTACTATTATATTGGGAATAAAGGAATAACAATCATCTAAAGGGAAAAGAATGTCACCTTGTTCTGGAAAGTTGAAGATTATATCCTCAACCGGTTGGCCGATTGGAAAATCCAATAATACAAAAAAAAAAAAATCTACAGTATCGGCGAAAAAAATCACACCACAATTATTATTTTGTTTTTTTTTTTTTTTTTTAAAAAAAAAAAAAGGGCCTTATTTATAATTATATATATCGGATTCAGGGAATGAACTTTAAGGGAACCAAGGACTTTTTTTTTTTTTTCTTTCCTGGTCTTGCTTAAAATAGAAACGTCCAAAGTCGAAAACCGAAGGCCGAAGGCCGATAGCCGATATAGCAAAGGATTAAAAGATAAAAGAAACCAGGGCGTCCAACAAAAAGTTCTTACAAACCCACGCAAGCCTTTTAAAATAAAAAAAAGAACACCAATC